GTATGAACAACTATATACCAATAAATTCAAAAACTCGGAGGAAATAAATAAATTCCTGGACACATACAATTTACCAAGATTCAACCAAGAATAACAGAAAATCCAAACTGACTATACCACAACTATACCATCATACCACCCTGAGTGTGCAAAATCTCATCTAATTTCAGAAGCTAAGCTGCATCAGGCCTGGTTAGTACCTGGTTGGGAGAAAATCTGGATAGACCGATACCAAGTAATGAAATCAAATCAATAATAAAAAGTCTCCCAATAGATAAAAATCCAGGCTTCACTGCTGAATTCTGCTGAACCTTTAGAGAAGAATTAATACTAATTCTTCTTAAACTATTCAAAAAATTAAAGTGGAGGTATCTCTTCTTAACTCATTCTATGAGGCCTTCATAATCCCTGATACCAGAAAAAGACAAGGACACAATAAAAAATGAAAACTATAGGCCAATATGCCTGCTGAACCTAGACTCAAAAGTCCTCAACAAAATATCAGCAAACTGAATCCAACAACACATCATAATCAAGGGGGATGAGGAATGCAAGGATGGTTAAATATACACAAATCAGTAAATGTGATACATCATATCAGTACAATAGACAAAAAAATCCCATAAAATCACTTGATAAAATTCAACATCCTTTCATGATAAAACTTTCAGAGAATTAGGTACAGAAGGAAAGTACTTCAACACAATAAAGGCCATAAATGATAAACTCACAGCTAGCATCATACTGAATGGGGAAAACCTGAAAACTTTTCTTCTAAGAACTGGAACAAGACAGGGATGCCTGCTCTAATACTCTTATTCAATATAGTACTAGGAGTCCTAGCTAGAGCAACCAGACAAGAGAAAGAAATAAAGTGCACCCAAATTGGAAAGGAAATAGTCAAATTGTCCTCTTTTACAGATGGCATGATCTTATATATAGAAAAACCTAAAAACTGCCAAAACCCATTAGAACTGATAAATTCGGTACAGTTCAGGACACAAAATCAACATACAAAAATCAGTAGCATTTCTATACACAAACAATGAACTAGCTGAAAATAATACCAAGAAGGTAATCTCATTTACAATAGCTATAAAAACAAACAAACAAACAAACAAACACACCTAGGAATAAATTTAAGAAGGTAAAATACCTTTGCAAGGAAAACTACAAAATACTGATGAAAGAAATTGAAGAGGATACCAACAAATGGAAAAATATTCCATGGTCACGGATTGGAAGTATTAATATTTAAAATGACCATACTACCCAAAGTTATCTACAGATTTAATACAATCCCTATGAAAATGTCAATGACATTCTTCACAGAAATAGAAAAAACAATCCTAAAATTCATATGAAAATACAAAGCACCCAGAATAGTCAAAGCTATCTTGAACAAAATGAACAAAGCTGGAGGTATCACATTATCAGAGTTCAAAGCATACTACAAAGTTATAGTAACCCAAACAGTATGGTACTGACATTAAAACAGACCCATAGATCAATGGCACAGAAGAGAGACCCCAGAAATTCTTCCATATATCTATAACCAACTTATTTTTCACAAAGATGCCTAGTACATACACTGGGGAAAGGACAATCTCTTCAATAAATAACACTGGGGAAACTGGATATCCATATTCAAAATGAAACTAGACTTTTGCCTCTCAACCAATATAAAAATCAACTCAAAATGAAAAAAAAGTGAAATATAAGACCTAAAATTATAAAACTACTAGAAGAAAACTTAGGGCAAATTCTGGAAGAGATTGGTCTGGGAAAAGATTTTATGAATGAAATTTCAAAATAACAACAAAAAGCAAAAATAAACAAATGGAATTATATTCTGCACAGCAAATGAAGCAATCAACAAAGCGAAAAGACAACCTATAGTATGGGACATAATATCTGCAAACTATTCACTCTACAGGATACCCAGAATATACAAGGAACTCAAACATTTCAACAGCAAAAAACCAAACAATCCAATAAAAAAATGAGCAAATGATCTAGAAAGACATTTTTCAAAAAAACGCCATACAAATGGCCAAAAAAATACATGAAAAAAAAAGCTCAACATCGCTAATCATCAGGGAAATGCAAATCACAACTACAATGAATTATTATCTCACCTCAACTAAAATGGCTATTATCAAAAAGACAAAAAAATAACAAATGGTGTGGAGGATGTGGAAAAAAGGGAACTCTTATATACTGTTGGTGGGAATGTAAACTAGTATAGCCACTATGGAGAATAGTATAAAGTTTCCTTATAAAACTACAAATAGAACTGTCATATGATCCAGCCATCCCACTATTGGAAACTTATCCAAAGGAAAGGAAATAGGCATATCAAAGAGACATCTGCATCCACATGTTTACTGAAGCACTATTTATAATAGGCAAGATATGAAATCAATCCAGGTATCCAGCAGCAAATGAATAAAGAAAATGAGGTATTATATACACAAATGGAATATTATTCAGCCATAAAAAAGAAAATGAAATCCTGTCATTTGCAGCAACATAGATGGAACTGGAGGACATAATGTTAAGTAAAATGTTTAACAAAAAGTTAAACACCATATGTTCTTACTCATATGTGGAAGGTAAAAAAAAAAAGTTGATCTCATAAAAATAAAAAGTAGAACAGAGGATACTAGAGGCTGGGAAGGGTAGGGGGAAGGGAGGATAAAGAAAAGTTTGTTAAGGGACACAAAATTACAGCTAGATAGGAGGAGTAAATTCTAGTGCTCTATTAATATACCAATGTGGAATGACTATAATTAACAATAATATATAGTTTCAGATGGCTAGAAGGAGGGCAGTGAATGTTCCCAACACATTGGAAAATGATAAATGTTTGAGATGATAGGTATGTTAATTATCCTGATCTGATCACTATATATTTATTGCAACATCACTATGTACCCCATAAATAAGTACAATTATTATGTATCAATTTACAAAAATTTAAAAACAAAACAAAAACCCACAAAAACTTATTGTTTTTAAAAGAGCAATAAAATAAACAATATTTGGCAAGTACTAAGACAACAAAAACCTGGTGGACATAAATAACATTAAGAATGAAAATGGGATGGTATTAGTATATGTATATTTAAAATTACAAACAAATGCTATTTTTATGCCAATAATTTTTTGAAAATCAATTTTATTGAGCTATAATTTACACAGTATAAAATGAAAGCATTTTAATGAATTTTGATAAATATGTACCGCTTATAACCACCAATACCACAATAAGGTATTTCTGCTAACCCACAATGTTCCCTGGGTCAATTCTCAGACAATCCCCTACACCTACCTCCAGGCCCCAGGTAACTGCTAATGTGATTTCTATAACTACAGTTCTGCCTTTTCTCAAGTTTTGTATATAGTGAATCACATGATATGTATACCTTTATGTATACCTTCTTTCACTCAACAAAATTTCAAAACTGATCCATGTTGAATATCAATAATTCATTCTTTTTTATTCCTGAGTAGTAGTCTATTGTGTGGCTATACCATGATTTGTTTATCAACTTACCTGTTGATGAACATGCGGGTTGTCTAGTTTGGGATTCTTATGAATAGAGAGATGCTATGGGAATTCACCTACAAGGCTTTGTGTGGATATGTATTTTCATTTTCCTAGATGAGTGGAATTGCTGGGTCCTATGATAAGCATAAATAACTGTCAAGCAGTTGTCCCACCAATAATGTATGAAAGTTCCAGTTGCTTCACATCCTTGCCGAATTTTATATCAATGAACTTGAAAACTTAAATATACGATTTCCAAGGAAAGTATAAACCACAAAAATTGGGTGAAGAAAACTAGGAAAACTGAAAAGACTAATAGCCATACTTGATATTGAAATGGTAGTTAAAGGTCAACCCTCCCCACCCCTCCCCTCCCACCCCGCACCCGAAGATATACCGGGATCAGAGAGTTTTACTAAGAAGTGATACCGAACTGTCGGGGACTAGGTAATTCCCATCTATTATTCAATCTGAAATAGAGAAAAAGATGCCAGCTTGTGTATGAGACTATCATAACCCTAATACCAATATTTGGAAAGAAAAATACCACAAGATTCATAATTCAGTATATCTACAATCAAGGAAGCAAACATCCTATATTAAGTATGTTTAAAAAATAATCAAAGCCTCATGATCAAGAAGAGTTTACACAAAGAATGGTAGGATGCTTCAACATTAGAAAAAGCTAGCATCATTTATTACGTTAACCAATTAAAAGATAAAAACCATGTGATTACCTGAAAAGATGCAGAAAAAGCACTTAATAAATTTTCAACTTCCAATCTTGATTTTAAAGCATATACATACCCCATGTATACGTACGCACATGAAGCTGAGCAGAGAACGGAATTTTCTCCGGGAAACATATCTAACCAGAAAAAGTAAGAGAATCAACTGGCACTATTTTAACCAATGTGGGAGTTCATCAGCAGTGACTAAACACACCGGACCAATACTAAAATCAATACCTCCTCTACACATCAGCACTAAGCAATTGCAAAATACAAGAAAGACATTTCCTTCATAAAAACGCCAAAAATATTGTTACCTAGAAATAAAACTAACCAAATAACGAACCAGACCTTTAAGAGACTTTATTCAAGGGAATTACTTTATCTCAATCTCTTGCTGTATGTCGTTTGCTCCCTAACACTTTTAAAATTGCACTATTTTTAAAATGCACTTTTAAAAACTCAATTTTTGTGGGGTTTTGTCATGCTTTCCCCACATACGACTGTAACCTTCTCGAGGGGCAAGGACCTTATTTGCCGTACTCCTAACCCAACACCTTCACCGTGCTTGGCACAAAGCGGGCCCTTCTAAGTTGCAAAACACTAAGCAACCTGAAGCTCCACCCCCTCCTCGTTTTCTCCACCTACTTTGTCACGGATTACGCAATAATGCGCAGAAATCGCGCCAAGCCTTCCACGTGACAACACCTCCGCCCGCGACTCCCCCAGCCAATCAGAACGCTCCGCGCCGGTGACTCCACTCCCGCTTCCCCTCACCCCCACGCCCACACGAGGTGGAATCTTCCAGTCTCGGACTGCTTTTTCCCCCCAGCGGGGCCAATGCGGCTGCGCGTCGCGCCCTGATTGGCCAAGAGCTGCGAGCTGCGCGCGCAAGCGCCCAACTCGGTTGCTAAGGGCGGGAGCCCGCCGAGGGCGCCGGTGGCTGGAGTTGTCTCAGGCCCACGTCGAAGCCTGCCCGCACTCGCCATGCCGAACCGCAGGGCCAGCCGCAATGCTTACTACTTCTTCGTGCAGGAGAAGATCCCCGAGCTACGGAGGCGAGGCCTGCCGGTGGCTCGCGTAGCTGATGCCATCCCCTACTGCTCCTCAGACTGGGCGGTAAGGCTGGAGGAGGGCGAGAGGGACCAGGCAGGACAGTTGGGCAACAGGGGGGACAAGGCAGGAAGGCAAGAGGCCTCGAGGAGGCCAGTGACCCCTTGGACCCTTCTGGCGGGAAAGGAAGCCCCCTGCTCCTGGCTCTGGGCAAACCGACGCTGGAACTACCTGTGGGGGCCAGGGCGCTGGGTCCTCCCTCCTCATGGCTGCTTCTCTTCTTTGTCTTCCCCTTCAATCTCCCAAAGCTCCTGAGGGAGGAAGAAAAGGAGAAATACGCAGAAATGGCTCGAGAATGGAGGGCTGCCCAAGGAAAGGACTCTGGGCCTTCAGAGAAGCAGGTAAAGTTAGCAAGAGAAAGAGCAGCCAGCTTCCTGGCACATAGACATGCTCAATAAAAGCTGGATGGGTGGATGGGTGAATGTCAAGGGTGAAGTACTGGGTGATTTGGGTTAGTGCAAAGAAGAGTTTAACTTTTTCCCCTGGGGTCAGAATGCCTGTTAAAAAAGTACGGGCTCCTTAACTAGGGCACATACATATTGGTGTAATTTGGTGGTGAAAGGCCTCGGGAATCTGTTAAGAAACTTGTAGACTGTAAACTTTGATCAGCAGTGGGAGTGTTTGATATTTAGGAGTTGTATTAGATGACCTCTAGGTGTCATCTAATACAACTCTTCCATGATTTAAGGGCCTGTTTTTCCTTCTCCCTTCTTTTTTTTTTTTTTGGATGCTTAAAAGTAGTTCAAACCATTCCTTTTAAATGACACCTGAAACCAAACCAGTTTCTGTGTTAAAAATATTGGAATTTGGAATAGTGAGATTTGGAGATGTATGTCCAAATGTCCATGTCCATTTGGAGATGTTTGCCTTACAAGTAAAAGAATTGAGTAAAGTTTATTTGGATAATTTTCTGTTTATATTAAATACACAGACTGTTAAAATACAAAATAAAATTGTTTTCTTGGCTGATTTGCATCGGGAAAATGCAAGGTAATTCTAGTTTCCTCACCCCCACAGGTGTTTTTTTCATTCTTACATAGTAAAATTCTTATACTGTCAACATTGGGTTGAAACTCAAGAGTTTTGCTTGCTTTAGGTTGGAGAGATTTTAATTGTGTGGACTTACATTTGAGTAGACGCTGTAGTCAGTTGAATTTGTACTTAGTTGTACTTGTGAGCTCTGATTTTTTTTCATACTGTAATTTCTTATATCCCCTCAAAGCTTAAGCTGTGTTGTATATATACCTCATTTGAGATTGGGAGTCAACATGATCTGATTTTTTTTTACTTTAGGTGAAAACAAATAATATTATAGTACTTTGGGGAGTGGTGTTTTTTTGGCCACTGGCTTGGCACATAGTAGGCAGCTCATGATTATCTTGGTAAATCAGTAGTGGACAAATGGCTTTCAGTAATAGTTGAATTGCTTATTTAGAATAATATTACAAAGAACATCAATATATTAATACATATTCAGAATATTTATAGATTTTAGCTGCCTTTGGATGTTGGTATTAATGACAAATATATTTATTCATTGGATTTGTTAGCCTTGAGAAGTAATCAATGGGCTGTTTTGCAGTTATTTTGCTAAATTGAAATATATGGTCTGAAGTGCCCAGCCAGATTTTAAATATGTAGTCAATCATTCTCTTCCTCTTTAGAAACCTGTTTCCACACCACTGAGGAAGCCAGGCATGCTTGTACCAAAGCAGAATGTTTCACTCCCAGATATGTCAAGTTTGTCTCTAAAAAGTGATCAAGGTAGAGTAATCCTAAAGTATTTTGTGTAAATTTGGATGCTTAAAACATTATTGTAATGATCAGAAAAAATGTTTTCTGTTCTTTTTGATCTCCATTTCAAAGTAATTGCCTACAAGTGTTAAATATTATGGTGCTAAAGTTATAAAGATCAGGTAATTTGTAATTGTTAATACTGGAGAGATTTTTTTAAACTGGTCTCTTGGTTTCTACCACTTGGTGTTATTAAATAGAGATACTTCTTAGACTTGTTTTATAGTGAGCCACTGGAATATATTTAAATTATAAAGGTTGACAGGAGAAATAATGAGATCTATTGTATAGTGACTATAGTTAATAATGTAATGTATATTTCAAAATTGCTAAGAGTGGGTTTTAAATATTCACAACACAAAAAAGTGAGGTGGTATGTTAATTAGCTTAAGTTAATCATTCCATAATGTACACATATATCAAAACCACATTGTACCCCACAAATGTATACATAATTATTATTTGTTAATTAAAAATAAAATGTAAAAATTTTAAAGGGGGTTATAAAGGTTAAAATAAATTATTGAGCTAGCCTAGAAGAGAACCTAGTTGAGAAGGATCCTTGCCATTCCTTCTAGCTGTTTTTATTGTGTTCTGCCTTTGTTGAACACTAATAAACTTTTAACAATCTTAAATGTGTCCAGTCCTGGTAAATAAGAACACTTTACACATTCTCACACGACTTTCTTCCCTTAGAGATTTTGTAGGTGGTCTTGTATGTATTGGTAAAAAGTAAAAAAGGAATGAACAAAATGGTTCATAGTTTATGTTACAGAGTTTTTATATACTGATTGTGCTTGGCATTATTTCCAAGGCTATGTATTTGTTGAATATGTGTCATGCCATTCCTGAGATTCAGGAATGTATAGCTGAGTTATGTAGAACTGGCTGCAAGTTTGAATAATTTTGTTGCTTCACTTAATCCTTGATAAGTGTAATGATAAAAATTTTTGAGATGATATATATGCTAATTACCCTGATACCATTATACATTGTATGCATCAAAATATCACTGTGTATCCTATGCATATGTACAATTATTATTTGTCAATTAAAAAATTAAATTTTGTTTATTTGGTATAGCTGATTGATTAGTTTTCTCTCGGCTCATTTAGGAATATAGGAACACAATGAAAATGATTCTTAAACGTTTTTTTTTCCTTTGATTTAAAGAGGTTTTTGTGGAAGGGGTAAATCTGAGATACTCATTTGTTAGTTTTGTCATACACATATATTTTTTTCTGTTTGTTTTGTTTTTTTAGCTCTCCTGGGTGGCATTTTTTATTTTTTGAACATTTTTAGCCATGGTGAGCTGCCGCCTCATTGTGAACAGCGCTTCCTCCCTTGTGAAATTGGCTGTGTTAAATATTCTCTCCAAGAAGGTATTATGGCAGATTTCCACAGTTTTATAAATCCTGGTAAGTAGCCAGTTAGAGTAGACAGTAGATCTTAAAAGTGTATGTTTTTTATCTTGTCTTCATTTGGTAATAATATTTGTTTTAAAAGCTGAATAATATACAGCTGGGTTCTTAAAAATGTCACAAGACTTCATAGTTGAAAAAACTTAAGAATTAGGTGTTGACAAGGGTTTTTGGTTTAGGCTTTTAGCCTCCAGTAAGCATTAAAATTGGGTGGATAGAATACCCAAATAATGCATAGCCTGCTGTTTGCTTACCTGTGGCCTTACATCTTGGAATTTTTCTAAAAGCTTTTTATGGCTTGATCTTTTCCTTCTCTACCCTGTCCTTCAACTCAGTGGTCACTAGTTTTTTAAGCTGCTGTTGCTTTGTAACCTTGAGGAAATTACTTAACCTCTCTGAACCTATTCATTCATCTGTAAAGTGGGGATAATACCTATTGGAAGGCTGTTCTAAACAATAGATGAGAAAGTATGAAAATAGCATAGTACTTAATAGGCTCTCGGTTGTTATCAACATCTCTTTTTCCCACTACTCCACTCCATTAAAAGCAAAATAGGTATGAGGATATAAGATTTAATTATGCTCCCAAGAGGGTAAATAGTAGTTAAGGGAACACCATACACTGTAGATAAATAGGAGAGATACATAGGGAGAAGCAATTGGGGGAAGAACTTCATCTTTAGTTTTGTCAATTAATCAGAAAATCCCAGCACTTTTTTTCTCCTCATTTGAGATGACAGATAAACTAATCAATCATCTTACTCCTATTTGTGAGGCATTAGGACAAGTCAGATAGCTACTTTTTTCCGTCGGGGTTATAAAGCATTAAAAAGATAGAATTTAGAGACTTTTCTCCTTCAGAAATTCATATATATCTTGCTACATCAAGGGCCTCACAACCACCTGAAGCCCATTCATGGACCCCTAGTTAAGACTCCTTTGGCACAAACTTTCTTTGTCTAGTATTTCTCTGTAAGAAGTAACTTGCTTTTAAATGTAGCTTAGACAATATATGAAAAATTATTTGATAATTGTCATACCTTTGGTTTAAAAAAAACACTGTGAAGGTTTATTCTTGTATATTTTCATGTAATAAAATTTACTTAACCTATGTTGTGATTTGGTCATCCTATGGAGTATTACTATAGCACAACTAGAGAACTTTTACATTTCTGCTTCTCTCAACAAAATATTTTATATTATAGGTGAAATTCCACGAGGATTTCGGTTTCATTGTCAGGCTGCAAGTAAGTATAAAGGAATAGGTAGAATATAGGAATTGAATATATGCGTACCTAGTTAAAACTTACTCCTTTAACTCATAAAACATAAACTGGGGTAAAAATAACCTTAGATTATTGTTGGAGAGTCTGCATAGAAATGATAGATGGTGTCTGTGATCTATAAAAACTTTAAAAAACTTTATAGACTTCTAATATCCCTTTTCATTTCAGGAGATTGTCATTTGATTTTGTGTATATATCCTTTGACCTCAAGGTCAGTTGCTTTTATTGGCCAGGTCTTTAGAAAAGTCTTTTAAGAGGTCTCAGATTATCCAGATTAAGGGTTATTTTCAAAAATGTCCATTCAAAAAAGTTTTTTTAAATGTTGTTGTTTCAAAAATAACAGTGGTAAACCGACAAAAGCATTCTGAATTTTTTTTAGATGAGGAAAACAGGTTCTTATTTTAATTATTTTGCAACTGAAGGGCATGACTGTATATCTAAGCTCTTGAACTGAACTCTTTTCTAGAAACTAGGTTTTAAGCAGTTTTCTGTTTGCTTAGGATGAAAATCATGATAATAGGTTTATTTTTTAATTTATTTTAATTCAAAAGTGTCACTGTTTGATTAGGGACCATTTAATGATTCCTGTATCTAAAGTATTTTTTTATTTAAAAATATGGACAACTAGCCTATAGAAAGTGTTTGAAATTAGAAATCATCTTTGCAAATCTGCCATAACAAGCAGCTATATTATAATACTTGTTAATACTTATAACACTGTTTTTTATAAATGAGAATATTTTGGACTTAGTTTTGGTTGTGTATTGAATGTTTTCTAGTCTTAGTAAAAAATATGTGCGAATCCATTGTTTGCATGATATCAGGGATGTAGGCTGTGGAATAAGGACTATAAGGGAGAATTTTTAGAGGATCCCCTTATTTAGCTCTAAATAAAAAGAAAATTTGTGATATAAAAGGCAAATTCTATAGTTGCTTTGAAGTGTGAATGTAGTTAATCTCCCCAAGTGTTAAATTATCTGAGGTTATTGAACTAAATATATGATAGTAAAAAACCATAAATAGAAACTTAGGTGCTGAATTAATTTTCACATTTTTACTTAAACTGTTTCTGATTTCTTCATTTATTGAATGCATTGCAATCCCTACTATGTGTCAGACACTTATTTGTGAGAGTGTCACTGGCTTTCTGTTTCTTTGATATTTTGAACAATCTATTTTTAAAGGCCTATTTTTACAAACTTTTCAAATTAATCAGATTAACAGAAAGTGTAGTTCTTTTTAAAAAACCTATTAAAGACTCCAGGAATGTTTTCTTAATTTATTATTCAAACTAATTGAAACTGAGCACAATGTTTCTCATTCTAGGGATCTTAAAATGTTTGGTGCTTACCAATTTAAGCATGCCTTAAATTGCCAATTTGATAACCCTGGGAAATGTGCCAGTTAAATAAGATAAATGACTATTAGAGTGACAGCTGTTATCAACATAATAACTAAAAATGTCTATGCTAATGTAATTGAGCTGATTTGGAGAACATGTTTTGTACAGTAATGCAGTGGAACAAATTTACATGTGGATGTGATGAGTCTGAGTATAGTAGCTAAGGAACATGCGTATAGAACTCTCAAATGCTCCTATGCTATCTGATCTTTGATGAAGTATGAGTGTAGGGGTAGGAGGTCTTCATTTTTCTCTTTCCCCACTTCAGCCAGGGGAGCTCTGCTTCTCTTCATTTTACTGGTTAATGATTTTCTTGAGAGACGTTCTGCTTTAAAACAAAGCTTTCAGCTTCTTATACAAAAGGTTCATCAGCTTTTCAAATCAAGCTTCATACATACAAAGATTATACCATTCATTTAAGGTATAAAGGATATTAATGAACAATAGTGGACCCACCAGTCAGCTAAAATATAGCACATTGCCAGTACTATTGAAGGCCCCTATCTATCTCTGATTGCATCCCATTCCGTCTTTCTGAAAGAACCACAATTCTGAATTTTGTGTTAATCATTTCTTTTCGGAATAGTTTTATTACATGTACATATGTATTTAAGTAATGTGTTTAATTCTGCTTGTTTTGACCTTTATATAATTAACATTGTGTATATATTTCTATATCCATATTTTTAAACTCAATGTCTTTTTCCCATTTTCTATTGAATTATTTTTCTTACTGGTTTGTGAAAGTTTAATATATCTTTGCTTACTGATTTTTAAAATTGTGTGCAGATAGCTGTTTTCAGTTTGTGCCTTGTATTTTTCATTCTCTTTATTATGTCTTTTAATGAACAGATGTTTTTATTTTTACTCTTTTTTTTTTTTTTGAGACAGAGTCTTGCTTTGTTGCCCAGGCTAGAGTGAGTGCCGTGGCATCAGCCTAGCTCACGGCAACCTCAAACTCCTGAGCTCAAGCGATCCTACTGACTACAGGCATGCGCCACCATGCCTGGCTAATTTTTTTTATATATATATGTGTGTGTGTATATATATATATATGTATATATATTAGTTGGCCAATTAATTTCTTTCTATTTATAGTAGAGACAGGGTCTTGCTCTGCTCAGGCTGGTTTCGAACTCCTGACCTTGAGCAATCTGCCCGCCTCGGCCTCCCAGAGTGCTAGGATTACAGGCGTGAGCCACTGCACCCGGCCTTATTTTTACTCTTTATTTTGTAGAGACAGGGCCTCACTGTGTTGCCTAGGCTGGAGATCAGTGGTAATTCATAGGTGCAATCATAGCATGCTACATATAGCCTTGAGCTCTGGGCTTAAGCAATCCTCCTTCCTCAGCCTCTTGAGTAACTGGAACCACAGGTGCCCTGCTTGTTTTCCTTTTTAATTTAGTAAACATATCTTTTATTTGTGGGTTTTTGTGTCTTATTTAAGAATTTTCCTCTACCCCAAGATCTCTATTTTCTTCTAAAAATTATAAAACTTTGTTTTTCGTATCCAAGTCCTATTCTACCTAGAATTGACTTATGTATGGTATGAGATAGAGATTCACTTTCACTTTTTCCCCATGTGCATAATCAATTGTTTCAGCATCATTTGTTGAATAAATTTGTTCGCCAATATGTAGTGTTACCTGTTGAATAAATTTGTTCGCCAATATGTAGTGTTACCTGTTGAATAAATTTGTTCGCCAATATGTAGTGTTACCAATATGTAGTGTTATCATATGGCCTCTGTGTTCTCTTTATTCTGTTACATTGATCTACTCTTTTTGGTGTCATTATCATATTCTTAAACACAGTAGTTCGTCAAGTCCCTTTACCTTGTTCTTTAGTAATATTGTGGCTGTTTTGACCATTTGTTCTTCCGTATGCAATTTAGAATCAGTTGTTCATGTTTGACATTAGATTGTTTTAGAGAAAACTGGTATCTTCATTATATTGAGTCTATCTGTGAACATGGGACTGTCCTCTTATTTTTTAGGTCTGTAATGCCTTTTAATAAAGTTTCATAATTTTCTCCATAATCTTAATGTCTTTTGTTAAATTTATAGTTTATCTTACCTTTTTGCTGCTACAACAAATCTCTTGAAATTATATTTTCTATTGTTTACTTTTATATTTTGATTTATCCCATTCATTGCGAAACTCTTGAGTTTTTAATAAATTCCTTATATAGTCATCTGTGAAACCACTTTTTGTTTTTTCTAAACTTACATTATCTTTATTTACATTTTTAAAAATTTGTTTTATCTTAGTATGCTAATTAAGACCTTTAGTTTCTTTTTTCACCATTGAGTATGCTGTTTGCTGTAGTTTTCTTTTGTATTCCCCCCCTCATATTTTTGGTGTGCACTCTTTATCAGGATAAAGACCTTTCTTTCTATAGATTTGCCTCATTTTATTGTGCTTCATTTTCTTGCACTTCATAGATAACTGTGTTTTTTACAAATTGGATATTTGTGGCAACCCCACATCAAGCAAGTCTGTCCGTGCCAATTTTCCAACAGCATGTGGTTTCTTTGTGTCTCTATGTCATATTTTGGTAATTCTTGGAATATTTCAGACTTTTTCATTATATCTGCTGTGGTGATCTATAATCAGTGATCTTTGGTGTTACTACTATAATTGTGTGGGGGCACCACAAACAGTGCCTATGTAATGTGGCAAATTTAATAAATGTGTGTGTTCTGACTACTTCACTGACTGTTCATCATTTCTCTCTGTGGACCTCCCTATTCCCTGAGACACAACAATATGGAAATTAGGCCAATTAATAACCCTATGGTGACCTCTGTGTGTTCAAGTGAAAGCAAGAGTCACACATCTCTCACTTTGAATCAAAAGCTAGAAGTGATTATAGTGAGAAAGGCACGATAAACCAAAAGCTAAAGGCAAGATAAACCAAAAGCTAGGTGTCTTGGGCCAAACAGCCAAGTTGTAAATGCAAAGGACAAGTTCTTGAAGGAAATTAAAAGTGTTTCTCCAGTGAACACACCAGTGATAAAAAAAAGCAAAACAACTTAATTGCTAATATGAAGGAAGTTTTAGTGGTCTGAATAGAGGATCACACCAGTCCCAACATTTTCTTAAGCTAAAACCTAACCCAGAGTAAGGCCCTACCTCTCTTTAATTCTGTGAAGGCTGAAAGAGGTGAAGAAGCTGCAGAAGAAAAGTTTGAAGATAGAAGTTGGTTAATGAGTTTTAAGGAAAGAAACCACTGCCATAACATACAAGTGCAAGGTAAAGCAGCAAGTGCTGGTGTAGAAGCTGCAGCAAATTCAGAAGATCTAGTTAAGATAATTGATGAAGGTGGCTACACTAAAATTTCCAGTGGAGGTAAAACTACCTCTTATCAGAAGAAGATGCCATTTAGGTCTTTGAAGCCAGGCATTGACTGACTCTCCAATTAGGGGCTAATACAGCTGGATGCTTTTAAGTGGAAGCCAGTGCTCAATTTACCATTCCAAGAATCCTGGGGCTCAGGAATTTTGCTAAATCAATGCTGCCTGTGCTATTTAAGTGGAATAACAAAGCCTGAATGACAGTGCATCTATTTTTACAGGATGGTTTACTGAATATTTTAAGCCCATTGTTGAGATCTACTCAAGAAAAGATTCCTTTCAAAATTTTGCTGATTGACAGTGGTTGTCCAAGAGCTCTGATCCAGATGTACAAGGAAATTAATGTTTTTGTGCTTACACAATATCCATTCTGTAGCGCATAGATACAGGAGTAATTTCAATGTTTAAGTCTTTACCATTTAAGAAAAACATTTTATAAAGCTGTAGCTGCCATAAATAGTGATGCCTCTTATGAATCTGAACAAAGCAAATTGAAAACCTTCTCAAAAGGATTCACCATTCTAGATGCCATTGAGAACATTTGTGATTCATGGGAGGAGGTTAAAATATCAACATTAACAGGAGTTTGGAGGAAGTTGATTCTGGCCCTTATGGATAACTTTGAGGGATTCAGGACTTTAGTGGAAGAAGTAATTGCAGATGGGCGGTGGAAATAGCAAGAAAACTAGAAGTGGAACCTAAAGATGTGACTGGATTGCTGCAATCTCATGAGAAAACTTTAACTGATGAGGAGTTGCATCTTATGCATGAGCAAAAAGTGATTTCTTGAGATGGAACCCACTCCTGGTGGATATGCTGTGAATATTGTTGAAATGACAACAAAGGACTGAGAATATTACATAAACTTAATTGATAAAGCAGCAGCAAGCTTTGAGAAGATTGACTGCAATTTTGGAAGACATTCTGCTATGAGTAAAATGCTATCAAATGGTATCCTGTGCTATAGAGAAATCTTTCATGAAAGGAAGAATCAATTGATACAACAAACTTCATTGTATTATTTTAAGAAATTGCTACAGCTACCCCAGCCTTTAGCAACCACCACCCTGATCATTCAGCAGCCATAAACATCAAGACAAGACCCACTACAAGCAAAAAGATTTTGAGACTTGCTGAAGGCTCAGATGATCATTAGCATTTTTTAGCAATAGTATTTTTAAATTAAGATATGTACATGTTTTTAGACATAATGCTATTGCACTCAATAGAATAGTAGTGTAAATATAACTTTTATATGTACTGGAAAACCAAAATATTTTCGTGACTCACTTTATTTTGATGTTCACATTATTGCGGTGATCTGAAACCAAACACAGCATCTCCAAGGTATACCTATATTCTGTTTGGCTAGCAGGATACCAGTTGCACATTTTAATTAATGTTCTTTCTGCATCTCAGAGATTTGTGTCTGTGTGGTAATTTCCTAATTTAAACCAACCTTGCCTTCCAGGGACAAACCAAATGTGGTCACTGTATATCTCTTAAATAAATTACTGAGTTTGGTTTGCTACTATTTCACAGTTTTTGCATTTACGGTAAAGACTCAGGTTAGCCTTACTTAGTTTTACTATCAAGTTTATTTTGCCATCATAAAATGGACTGAGGAATAGGTTTTCAGTATTTGAATTTGTTTTTTGTTTCTGCAGAAATTATTGTCTTTAATTTCCCTGAACATGTTAAGTCTAATTATTTTAAAATCTTATGTCTGATAATTCTATAGGGGTTTTCCTTTAGGTTTAATTTTTTTTTTTTTTTTAGTCAGGATCTCACTCTTTCTGTTGCATGGGCTAGAGTGTAGTGGCATAGCTTGTTGCAACGTCAAACCCCTGGGCTCAAGCAATCCTCCTGCCTCAGCCTCCTAAGCAGCCAAGACTACAGGAGGGGCACACCACCATGCCAAGCGAATTTTTAAAATTTGTGTAGAGATGGGGGTCTCACTATTGCTCAGGCTCATCTCAAACTCCTGGCCTCAAGTGATCCTCCTGCCTCAGCCTCCAAAAGTGCTAGGATTATAGGTGTGAACCACTGTGCCCAGCATTGGGTTTGAGTATAATCTGTTGGTTATCTTGATATTCAGTCATGTTATCAGATATCTTTATACATCTAGTTATTTAATATTTTCAACGGAGTGCTAAACAGTATATGTGAAAACTTGGTACTTCTCTCCAAAGAAGATTTATGATTGCATATGGCAGAAAGGTAGAATCACTGAAATCTCAGATTACCCTAATTCATTTTCAGGGATTAAGGGACTTCAGTCAGACTTTACAACAGTTAGTCTATTTCTATTTAATCTTTAATAGAAAATGGGTGAGGGTAGATAGATGACTATCAAAGAATTATCAGTAAAATTTACAGTTGACTTCACAGTGTAAACAATGGAAGCTAGAAAACAATGGAATATTTTTTTAATTATAGATTTTTAATTTACAGAAGTAATGCTGAAATAATAATTTTAATTCTTACCAGCTCTGGGTCTAATGAAAACTCTGTCCAGTTTCTCAGCCTCTAAATCTCCTTTTCCAGCATTGTTAAACACCCTTGGGGAGAAACCCACATGGCCAGATTCATCTAAGATTTCTTTCTTTCCAAGGTTTGGGGCCTATAATTCTTCACTGCATTTCTAGCTCTGTAGCTGGTGTTTCATTTGTTCAGCTTTTCCCTAGACTGTCATCAGAAGACTCCTGCATTTTTTTACAGTTTCTAATTTTATACTGAAATTTGTAATTTGATCTCCTCAAATTTAATAAGTACAATTATTTAAAATCTGTATTAATAACTTCAGTATCTCAAATGCCTATGGGTTTATCTTTCTATCAACTTTATTTTGGTTCTCATTCTCCTTTCTTTGTGTACCTGGTTATTTATAGAGTATTTGGGGGGAAAATGATTTCAAAGTAATTTGAGGCCTTTGATGATGTTACCTTTCCCCAAAGAGAGTTTATGTTTGCTTCTTTCAGACACCTGGGAGCCTAAAAAGCCAGGCCCCACGGGCTGTCAAAAGCACACTGCTTGGCCATTGAGCTTCCTCATCTGGAATTGGCAAGTGACCCAGGGGAAAAACTCCTGTAAAGCTAGTCTCACTTGTCTGGATTTTGGTAGTCTCCTGCATCTTGACCCAATAATTCTTTACTGCTCTGTGTGCTCTAATACCCTCAAGCCTTTTTATTTTTTGTGAGAAGGTTGATCTGAATTACTTGACCCTTTTTTATCCTGGAAGTGGAAATTGTCATCCTATAACCTTTTAAAAAGCAATCATTACTGTTAGGTTCTCAAGCCTTATTCATAAAACATTCATGAAAAGCAGCATGGGAGTAGTGAAAACACTGCAGGCCTGATCACTTAACAAACCTGGGTTTGGATCATAATTCAGCTGTTTACCAACTATTGATTTCTGTGATTCTCAGTTTTTTGTCTTTACTGTGTATACATCACTCATAGAATGACTGAGATTATGAATTAAAATATGTAAAGTACCTAACCATAACCAGGCATTGTACAAATGCTTAAATATGAGTTACCCACTACTCTATTCTTGTATTCCTATTTCCGTACCTAACCCATAATATTTTTCTTGCTCAAAATTTGAACTTTTGTCTCCTTTTTATTTCCTTCAGGTGATTCTAGTCACAAGATTCCTATTTCAAACTTTGAATCTGGGCATGACCAAGCAACTGTGTTACAAAACCTTTATAGATTTATTCATCCATACCCAGGGAACTGGCCACCTATATACTGCAAGGTAATTTCAAGTTAAGAAGTTCTCTTAAGGTATCCATTTAGATGCCAAAAGATCCATAAAAGGTGCCAAAAGAAAGAATTTTTTGCTATGTATTAGCTGTGTGTTCATTCTGAATTGTTTTGAATATTATTAGGTATGCCTTTTTAAAAAAATTTCTTTGATTTTAGAGGGATTTTGAAGACTGCAAAAGCTGAACATATTTCTACTTTGGTAAATCCCTTGTTTTTTGAATTCCCCATTCTGAAATATCTACAATATCTTTTCACCCTGAAGAATGGATGCTACATTCCGTACACCTATCCTTCCAAGCAAGATTACCTTTTTATTCAAAAGTATCTTTGTGACAGCCCCTCCCCCCTTTTTTGTAATATTTAGGGAAACTTTATTCTTTATGTTGTCCAAATTCTTCTAGGCTAGGAATTTAAGAATTAGGTTTTAACCTTGCTACTTTTTAGTATAACAGCGAGCAGATTACCTAATCTTTTTCTGAACATTGATTTCTTTATTCACCTACCCTAGGTCTTGCTTCTCAAAGTATGTTAATATTGCTATATAAATGTAACTGGTTAATAATAGTATCTTTTCTAGTCTATGTCAATTACTTTTATAGTTCTCATTTCAGTTCACAAACTCTTCAGTCTTTCTCTCCTGTACCCTCTGAACCCCCACCCCTATTTTGAAAGGAGAGCATTAATTAAAAGTAACTCAAGGTAGGAGAAAATATAAGTTGTTTTCTTTTCTTCTCTAGTCTGATGATAGAGCCAGAGTCAACTGGTGTTTGAAGCATATGGCAAAGGCATCAGGTAAGTAAAACTCTGGGTCACTGCAGAAGCACATTATAACATCTGTATTTGTTTCCAATTTGATATATATGTTCTAAAAACCTAAATTTACTAAGTATATGTGTTTTTCTATCTACAAATGGAAGAAATCAGGCAAGATCTAGAACTTCTCACTGTAGAGGACCTTGTAGTGGGGATCTACCAGCAAAAATTTCTCAAGGAGCCCTCCAAGACCTGGGTTCGAAGTCTCTTAGATGTGGCCATGTGGGATTACTCTAGCAACACAAGGTATTAATATAAATTTTGTACAGTAATTTTGTGAAAATACAGTAATTTTGACTTCTTTTCTGAACTGAGAAAATATGGTAGGACTAGTTATCTTTGCCTTTTTATGCAGTATTTTCCTATGAAACTTTAGAAGCATTGTATTACCTTGAATATAAGATTTTATGGATTGTAAGATACATTACTTTGTGTACTGCTCAAAACAAAAACTGCCAAATACACTGTTCTTTTTTATCAGTTAAAATTTTTCTACTGATGAAAAAATGTTTTTAGAATTATTTAGACAGATTTTTTTATTACATAGAACTCTCATACTTAAAGGAATATATATTTGTGAATGGCAAAAGAATTTTTTATTTTGAAATAATCTTAGATTTATAGAAAAGTTACAAGAATAATACAAAGTATATCATTCTCTCACATTCCCTAATCGTTAACACTTTAATATATTTTCTTTATAATTTTGTTTCTAAATATGAACATACTGTTTTTCTAAACTACTTGAGGGTAAATTGCTTTCATTATGTCTCTTTGTACCCAAATACTTCAGTGTTTCCTAAGAATAAGAATATTTATATTACCATAGTATAATTACCAAAATCAGGATATTGCCATTGATACAGTACTCTAATCTGAAGATGATATTCATATTTTGTTAGTTGTTCCAATAATGTTTTTTATAGCCCCCCCCCAAATCTAGAGTCCAGTGTAAGATCACATGTTGTACTTTGTTATTATGTCTCTTTAGGCTCCTTTTATCTGAAACAGTTCCTCAGGCTTTGATATTTTTTTTTTGTCACAGGCCAGTTACTCTATAGAATGTTTCTCCGTTTCAGTTGGTCTGTATTTCCTCATGATTAGATTGAGGTTTTGTGTTTTTGGCAGGAATATGTCAAAAGTGATGATGTGTCTTCTCAGTGTGTCACATCTGGAGGCATATGGTGTCAGTTTGTCTCATTACTGGTGATAACTTTGATCACTTAAGGTAGTATCTGTCAGATTTCTCCATTGACTATTTTCACCTTATGATTAATAAATATCTTTCAGGGAAATACTTTGAAATTAGGTTGCCATTCTAGTCTTCAAACTTTCATATACTAGTTTTAGCACCAGTGATAATTTGTGCCAAATCAACTATTACTATGTTTGTGAAATGGTGATTGTTTTTTTCTAATTGGATTGTTCCTTCTAAATTTATTAGTATTCTATTCTACTGTAAAGAAGAATTTTTTCTTTTCACCGATTTATTTCTTTCATTTATATGAGTATGGACTCGTGTATTCCTATTCAGTAGATTATCTGTTAATACCATAATTTATTTTTATGCTCAAATTGTTCCATATGTGGCCAGTGGGAGTCCCTTCAAGCAGTGGTTTCTGTGTCGTTTTGACATTGCCTTATCGTTCTTTGAGCACTTCTTTGTTTTCTGTCTGGCACAATATGTTACAGGCTCATCTTGTACTTTCTCTGCTCCAGCCTTGAATTAGCCATTTCTCTAAGGATACTTGGTTCACTTTAGTGGAACATATTATATAGTATTTAGAAGATAGGATCTGGGTGCTAGGTGTGCTCAATTTTTACTAGAGTATCATTGGTTTTAGGTTCCCTTAGTGGAGAGAGCTAGGAAGTATATATGTATGTGTATATACCCACCTTCTATATACATTTTTATGTAGGTAGGTCTCTGACTCTCTGTTTTTATCTCTTTCTGTCTCACTAACATTTCATACTGAACCTACAATTTTAATCTAATACCATAGGGATCTCTAGTGTTTCGCTTTTTTTATTTTTGTATTTCTTTTCTCTGAGAGCAAGAAACCGCTCTCAATATTTTTCAGAATTATGTGATACCACCACTGTAAAAAAAAAAAAAAAAGACCAACAATGGTTCAGAATTTGTTTATATTTATTTTTAGTCTAAAAGTATATAGCCAAAATACTTTGTTCAAAAGTTAGGTTATTTTTACCCCTTCAGCATACTTAAATTCTTTTTTTGAAATATATTTCATTTGTTTATTTCTATTCCATTTTTGTTTTTTCCCTGCTTTTGTTAATTAAATTGTCTTTTGAATGTCTAAAGCATTACCATATGTAAACAAAAGTATAGTCAGAAGTGTCACTTCATTCTAGCTCCATAAAAAACCTTGTTGAGATTGCATTAGATTTATAAATTAGGGAGAACTTTATAATGTTGAGCTGTGTCCAAGGACAAGCAATGTTTTTCCATTGTTCAAATCTGTTTTTATGTTTTTCAAAGATGTTTTAAATTTTTTCTCACACAGATTGTGTATATCTGGGACTGGTGCATTTTTGTGGGAGCAGTTCCTTGATAACATTCTCTTCTATAGAAATTGCTTTGATTATCAGGCTTCTTAATTCTAATGTAGTAAATTTTGGTGATCTGTATTTTCTTAGGAAATTGTATATTTTATATAGATTTTCAAATTGTTTTTGTTTAAAGGTCTGCAAGGAAGGTAGTCTCTTAAAATTTTTCAATTTGTTTCCTTGGTGGTTTATCTCATCACTTCTTGTGCCCTCTCCTTTTTTTTTCTTAAGCTAGCTAGTATGTTGTCTATTTTAATTTTTCAAAACAACAGGATTTTAATTTATTGTACCTATTTTTCTATTTTCTTATTAATTTTTGCTTTTATCTTATTCTCTTTGTACTTTATGGTTCTTTTTCTAGTTTTGGAGGGCTAGGAACTTAATTCATTTATCTTTTGTTAGATTTTTATTGATAAGCATTTAGTAGAGTGAATTATCTTTTAATCATTATTTTCATAAATTCTAACATGCAATATTTTCATTGTCATTTTTAACAAATTCTGTTATTTCAACTCTCAACCAGGAGTTAAATACAAGGCTTTTAAGTGTCCAGATGAAAAAGCCTTTCTGATTTTTGTTTCTGTTAGTAAATTCTAATGTTTTTGCATTGTGATCAAAGAATGTTGTTTATAATATTTCTACTTGATGGAAGTTAATCAGTGTTGAGTTTTTTTTCCCCTAACTTAATACGTAATTAATTTTTGTAACTGTTCTATGGGCATGTGAGAATATGTATTCTTTATTTTCAGGGTATAGTATTTGGTATATACATAAGCTCTACATTGATTATGTTCAGGTTTTCTTATCTCTTTATATTTTGTCCAGTTGATCTTGTATTGAGAGTGGTTCTAATCTCTCCAGTTACTATTTTTCTGTCAGTGTCTCATTACATCTTCTTTAGTTTTAAATGGGTCACTGTATTATTTGATGCCTTAAAATTTGCGAACCTTGATATAGTAGATTGATCAGGGCTTATGGACAGGTGTTCCCTGTATTCTTTCCATGTCTAAATCTTTTTCTCATGGTTTATACTTTATTTCCTTGAGTTTCTAGAAAATACAACTCCATCGTATTGCTTTGTGTTCCTTTTGCAAACTTCAGTCAGTTAATTCTCTTGGCTTTAGTTATCTGATATTTTTGCCTAGAATTACTTGATCATTTTGCCTGAAAACCTTAGTCTTTTTTTAATTTTAAAGTCTAATAGTTTTACTAGGGTAGTTTTCTGAGTTTATTATTGAAGGTCCATTTTCCAAGGTGTTTAATGAGTCCTTTCAATATGTAGAATAAGGCTCTATTTCTGGAGATTTTTCTTAGATCATTTAATATTGTTCTAGTCCACTGCTTAATTTTTTTTCTTAAAAGAGTCCAGTATATCTATGTTTGATCTTCTTTGCCTATTTTTCATTTTAATCACTTTTTATGACCCTTTTTACTTTAATAATTCTCTTGATAATTTTCTGCTTTCTTCAATTTTCCTTATTAACTTTCCTAATGAATCTATTATTTTTTGGACAGTTTGTAATTTAGTCCTTTTCCAGTATGATTTTGTCTTTTTTCTCTCTTTTGATCCTGAGTTTAATCTGTTACTTTCTTTTCTTTTTTTAATTATTTCTGTTTCTGAAGTTTCCCATTCACGGTGTGTTTCCAAACATTCTTTTGTGAGGATATTTAATTCAAGGTGGAATTGTATGTTACAGTTTTCTTCTCCTTCACATTTTTTTGGGGGGAGGAGATGAGGAGGAGTTATCAGCTAAAGTATTTTCTCATTTTATGTTTTCTTCTTATAATAGCTTTCTATAGATGAAGATGCATTGTTCCTTTGCATTTCTTAAATAGGGCTGATAATTTGTGAAGAGGTTTGAGAGTCTTTAGAGCTCAAGAGCTTCCTTTTTAGTCAGCATAGCAAAGTACGGGTTCTTTAATGATTTGGGGGGAGTTTGTAGGGGTATGGATTGTAGGTCCTTTCAGGCTTGCTTTCTTTTCTTTCCTTTCCTTTCTTTCCTTAGGGGGATCCTAAATTTCCCCCTCTTGCTTTTTTTTCCCCCTCCATCCAGTTTCTAAAGGGCTCATCTCTCTTCCTGTTTTCCTCCTGTAGTCAGTGCTCCTGTCTGCCAGAACTCAGTTTCAGTATTTATATAAAAAGTTGACTTTATCATTGTGAGGATGATTTTAATTTAATCTTAGGCTCTCTATTTCATTTCTCTTGCTTCCTCACAGTTTTTTTCCTGAACACTACTCTCCATATAAAGGCTTGAGGTGGGAGATTGAGCAATTGCTCCATTGGAAATTAAAGTTTTCTTTTTTCTATTTATAAGTAATTGAGTTTTGTAGTGTTCTATATCTTCTAATTATGCTGCAGGTATAGATTTTGTCTGGTTTGATTTGGTTGTTTTGTTCTTGTTAATCTGTAAAGTTTATGGATGATGTTAGGATATTTGTATTTATGTACCATTACCCCAGCTGTGAAATTTCAAAAATTTCACATTCAGAGTGAATGTGACACATTCAGTGAACATGACACATTCATGACACATTCATGAACACATTCAGTGTTCATGTTTTTTATTGTATACAGCATTTTTAAAAAGAAAACTCCACTGTTGTCTCTGGGGTTTTCTTCTAAGCAACTGACACCCTTTCTGCAAGTTTTGATGCTGACTCTTTCTTGATCTTATCTG